AAAAAAAAAAAAAAAAGCCCAATGCAGTATAGCACGGAGAAGACAAGTAATGGCTCTATAGCATCTTACTATGCTGATACTGATTGCGTTGGGGAGGGGGGTGGGTGGGAATGTAGTAACCACAATGTTGCTCATGTGAAACCTTCATAAGATTGTATATCAATGATACCTTAATTTTTTTTAATTATAAATAAAACCATTAAAAAAAAGGTCCAATGCCCAGATCTCACCTCATACCAATTAAGTCAGAATCTCTGGGAGTAGAACCCAGGCACAGTAAATTTATAAATTCCTCAGGTGACCTATGTTTATCGCAGCACTATTTACAATAGCCAAGATGTGGAAGCAACCTAAGTGACCATCAGTAGATGAATGGACAAAGATGATGTGGTACATATACACAATGAAATATTATTCAGCCATAAGAAGAAAACAAATCCTACCATTTGCAACAACATGGATGGATAGAGGGTATTTTGCTCAGTGAAATAAGCCAGGTGGAGAAAGACGAGTACCAAATGATTTCTCTCATTTGTGGAGTACAACAACGAAGCAAAACTGAAGGAACAAAACAGCAGCAGATTCAGGCTCCAAGAAGGGACTCTATAGCATCTTACTATGCTGATGGGCAGTGACTGTAATGGGGTATGTGGGGGGGACTTGATAATAGGGGTGAATGTAGTAACCACAATCTTGCTCATGTGAAAACCTTCATAAGATTGTATATCAATGATACCTTAATAAAAAAAAATTCCTCAGGTGAGTCCTTTGTGAAGCCAAGTTTAAGAACCAGTGTTCCAAGGGACGTTGTGTGAATACAGTTACATGTATGTCACTAAGATTTCTTGGGGATTGCAAAGATAAGTGAACCACGGTGCCTGCTCGTAGAAAGACAAAATATTAAACGCCATGGGCCATAAAGAAATGAATAGGAGCAATTTCGGCTGCCACCAGAGCTAATCTAGTGCATTTGGGTGAGGGAAAAGGAGACTACTTGTGAACTCTTCATCTTCAAGACCGAAAGTATTCTTCGATCTGCACCCCTCACCCCAACCCCCCAAAAAGAATAAAAACTAAATCCCTTGATCTTTTAAGGGATTTCCCAGTAAATGAAATTTAGAAGATGCAAATTAATGATTCAAGGTTACATAGCCCATCAGAGAAGTTGAGCTGGACACTTTATATGGTATATGTTAATTACTTCCCTTACTGTCCAAGAAAGTTTGGATTTTAAACACTGGGCTTCATTACTGCTCTAAGCATGCATCTTTGTCAAACCCTGTGCCCTGATACTTTTAAACTGAGGTATAGCATTTATACAGTAAAGGGAGCAAAGTGCATGAATCTTAAGCATAATTTTTAAATTTATATTTATTCTTATAACCACCTCTCAGTTCAAGATACAAAATAATTCCTAAAAAATACATTCCTTCCCAGTTAATTCCTCCTCTCCAGCAGTTAACCACTATTCTGACTTCCATCACCATCAGTTAGTTTTTCCTACTCTGGAACTTCAAGTAAATGGAATTAAACATTATTTTCGGTTTTGTGCCCAACTTCTTTAGCTTAATGTTTCTGTAAGATTTTATTGATGTTTTTGTGCATATCTATTATTCTTTTTTTTGCTGTCTAGTGTTTGTGTGAATAAGCCACAGTTCATTTATCATTTCTTCTATTGATAGACTTTTTGTGTTGTTTCCAGTTTGGGGCTATTACGATAATGCTGTTATGAATATTATTGTACACAGGTTTTAATGGATATATGTTGCTCTGGTTTTTGCTTTTCATAATATAGTCAAATATTATGGACTATTAAGAATTGCATGGAAAAAGGAGATGGGTTCGTACAAGAGGAATCTGCTTCCTAGATGGGATTTTTATTAGGTGTTATGAAGGCTTGGATATTGTATGATTCCATTTAAATTGCATTTTTTTAATGACAAAATTACAGAGAAGGAGAAGAGATCAATGGTTGCCTGGGGTTAGAATTGGTGGGGGGAGGAAAGGAGGTGTTCCTATAAGGGTATAGCACAAAAGAGATCTTTATGGTGATGGAATGGTTATGCATCTTGATTGCAGAGGTGTTTATATGAATGTCCATATGTGATTAAGATGTCAAGGAACTATACTCACCATTGTACCAATGTCAGCTTTTTGACTTTGATATTGATTTAACCTCCAGTGGATAAATCTTAAGTAAGATTTAACCATCAGGACCCTCTCTGTACCATTTATGCAACTTCCTGTAAACCTATAATTATTTCAAAATAAAGTTTTAAAAAATAATTATAAAAAATAAAAATAAACAGGAAATACAGTGTATTGAAAGTACTTAGTCCATGGCAGATGCTCAATAAAAAGAAATTCTTGGGGGTTTTTTAATTTTAGACTTTTATTAGGGAAAATTAAAAACATACAGAAAAGTGGAGAGTACCATATATTGAACTTCCACATACCCGTCACCAGGATTTAACAACTGTTAACATTTAGTCCTATTTTCTTCATCTATTTTTATCTCTAACAGATGAAGTCTTTCTCTATAACGTCATTTTCATGCCCTCAGAATTACAGTAATTTCTTAATGTAATCTAATGCACATATTTAATTTACCCCAATTCCTCAAAAATGTCTTTTGCCCTTCTGTGGCAAAAAACACTTAACATGAGATTTAACTTATTTTTAAGTGCATAATACAGTATTGTTCTGCTTATGCACAATGCTGTAGAGCAGAGCCCTTGAACTTACTCATCTTGAATAACTGAAACTTTGTACTCAACAGCATCTCCACAACCA